AACGCAAAACAGCAGAGCGGGCCGCCGATTTCCTTCCTGAGGGGTAGCTCTGAGGTGAGTGGCCAGGGCAGCTGCGAACCTCAGAAAGGCAGGTTCCAAAATGATTCCCTGGAACACAAAGGACACTGGCCACCTTTCTGGGCACAGCTGAGGGGCACCAAGGGCTCCTGTTAGAGCACGGACCGGGCACGCAATGACAGGGGCATTTGTCGCGGCTACGTTGACTGAACGTTCCTACAGCCCAAGGAGGACACAGGTGGTGCATTAGCCATGGCCTCACACAGGTGACAGATCGGCGGGGACAAACATAATACTTTCATGCCAAAGAGTCTGCAGTGACACCTGGAGAAAAAGGCTTCTCAGGGAAAGGAATCCGCTCTAAGGAGGGGTACATATACGGAGGTCACACCGTGCGACCTTAATTCGACGCAAGTGGGATCGTATTACTTCCCGGCTTAAACTCCAGTGTTGGCTTCCCTGCACAGCGCATAAACTCCACATCCTTCCAGGGGCCCACAAGCTCCCCTCCGCACCCCTCCCCTCCCTCCAAGAGGCAGCCACCCTGTTTGCTCTGCAATCTTCCAGGCATTCCGCTGCCCACACAGACCTTTGCACATGCTGTGCCCTGCTTTAAATACTCTTCATGTTTAAAAGGCCTCCATGGAGGCTCCTTCGAGGCACAGCTCCAGTGTCATCTCCTGGGAGAGGCCTGCCCTGACCAAGCCATCTAAAGTGATGCTTCTTGTGACGCGTCGCTGTTGATGTTGGTCACACCCTGACAGTATCGCCCGGTTTTTTGCTGTTTCCTCCCTGCTTCTATAAAGAAGCATCACGACAGCAAAGACCCTGGCTGTCCTCACAGCTGCATCCCTGGCACTGGTGCAGGGTGTGATGGTTTGTGGAATCAATGGATGAATGGGGCCAGGCGCAGTGGCTCACGCCTGTAATCCCAGCACTCTGGGAGGTTAGGAGGGAGGATTGCTTGAGCTCAGGAGTTCGAGACCAGCCTGAGCAAGACGGAGACTCCATCGTTACAAAAAATAGACAAATTAGCTGGGGTGTGTGTGGGCATGCCTGTAGTCCCAGCTACTCCAGAGGCTGAGGCAGAAGGCACTTCCGCCCAGGAGTTGGAGGCTACAGTGAGCTATGATGACCCCACTGCATTCTACCTGGGGCCAATAGAGTGACACCCTGTCTCAAAAAAAAAAAAAAAAAAACAACAACAAGAAGCTGTAGTCCCAGCTACTCGGGAGGCTGAGGCAGGAGGATCGCTTGAGCCCAGGAGTTTGAGGTTGCTGTGAGCTAGGCTGACACCACGGCACTCAATCTAGACTGGGCAACAAAGTGAGACTCTGTCTCCAAAAAAAAAAGAAAAAGATATCATTAAAAATTCAACTGTTTTAGATGTCTCATAAATCATACACTATTCTTTATGACTGGCTTATTTTGCTTAGCATAATGTGCTCAAGGTTCATTCATATTGTAGCTTGTGACAGGATTTCATTCCTTTTTGAAGGCTTAATAATATTCCGTTGTGTGTACATACCACATTTTGTTTGTCCATTTATGCATCAGTGGACATTTGGGTGGTTTCCACCTTCCGGCTGTTGTGAATAATGCTATGAACATGAGTGAGCAAATACCTCTTGGAGACCCTGCTTTCATTTCTTTTGGATACAGACTTAGAAGTGGGCTGCTGGCCATACGGTAATTCTCCTTAGTTTGTGGATGAGACTCCACACTCTTTTCCACAATGGCTGTACCATTTTACATTCCCATCAACTGTGGCCAAGGGTCCCTGTTCCCCATATACCCACCAACACTGGTTATTTTTTGTGTTTCTGACTGCAGCCATCCTGATGGGCATGAGGTGATGTCTCACTGTGGTTTCTGTTTGCAGTTTTCTGATGATGAGTGACATTGTGCATCTTTCCATTAGCTTCTTGGCCATTTCTATAGCATCTTTGGAGAAATGTCTATGCAAGTATCTGCCAGTGTAACACATGACTGCATGAGTTGTATTGAACTCACATTAGTTTTGCGCCTGGCCTCGAAGCAAATAACTCGTGGCTATAACTCACAGCAACGAAAAAAAAAAGAACAATTAGAAAGATTGTTGTGTTCTCGAAAACACCGGGCCCCAGGAATTTTTTTTCTTGGTGGCAGTCAGTTTTTTTTTTTTTTTTGAGAACAGAGTCTCAGCTTGTGCCCCAGGCTAGTAAAGGCCATGCGTCAGCCTAAGCTGCACAGCAACTCAAAACTCTGAGCTCAAGCAAGCAGAGCGGCGAGCGGCGCGAGAGCGAGAGGCAGCGGAGCGAGCGAGCCGTACTTTTGGGCTATGTGTGAGTGCCAAGTTAACTGTCTGGAGTGAGAGTATACGGCGTCAGCGCTTGCTCAGGCGGTGTGCGACTCCTGAGCCGAGCGAGCTGCCGCCGCCTCGCTCCAGAGGCTGATTACGAGCGGAGCCACCAGCCGCCAGTTTTTTTGTTGTTTTGTTGGTTTGGTACATAGCCTCTAAGCCATTGCAGTCACTTGTGTTGGTGTGTTTACTGTAGTCAATGGTGTAAGAGTATTTGTTGTTGTTGAATTGTGAGAACTTTTTATATATTCTGGACATGAACCCCTTATCAGATATATAATTTGCAAATATTTCTCCCATTCTACAGGTTGTCTTTTCACTCTCTTGATTGTGTCCCTTGATGTGGAATAGGCTCTATCTTTTTATGGAGAAATGTCAAAGAATTCATGGACGTTTTGAAGCTATCACAGCATAAAAGGGGTTTTGGCAAAAAGTAAGTCTTTCCCTGCCTTGACGGCCCTCCCAGAGGCAGCCTCTGTTACTAGTTTCTGTGTGCCTTCCAGAGATTTCTGATGTAAAGTTCCCATAGAAAATTGTGCAAAGTTTGTTTTTGTGCAAAATGAACTTGGAAATGAACCTGTGCTGTGACTGATCTCTGCGGCCCTCCACATCCATGTTGATGACACAGGGAGTTGAGTGGCTAATTCCTGAAGACCCCACTTTCCAGCTCTGTCGTGGGGGAACATGGGCCATGCACTCCCTGAGCCTCCTTTCACCCGGATTTCCGAAGGTTCTGTCTTGACATGAAAGATTATTTCTTAAAGGAGGCTGTTTACTCCCATCAGTGCCAGAGAGTCCCTATTGTGTGGGAAGGAGAGAGTTCTTGTTTTGTTCCACTTAATGAAGGGCTCAGTTCCTCTTATCAGCACTATGCTGGGCAAAATTCTAATTTCAGTTCTTTATTTTTCAGAAATTCCAAAGAATGAGAAATGAGGTGATAGGAAGAGCCCCAAACTGCCACCCTGGTAAGATTCTTCCATCTGAAATTCATGCCCACAGGGTACAGGTGTGGATGGGCGGGGAGGCCTAAGGTGGAATGGCGTTGGGGAGATTTTTAACTGTTCTCAGTGACTATTCCCCTTTTGCTCTTAGTTTTAGAGTCCCTAAAGTTTCAGAGGGGCATATGGCTGCCTGGCTAGAGGTGATGATTTTAGCTTCCGCTGAAGTTAGGTGTGACCTGGAGGTTATGTTCTGGCCTGTAAGATACAAGCAGGTGTGACGGGGGACACTTCTAGGGCACATTGTTGGAAAGGAAGCTTATTGTCCTCGTCTGTTTCCCACTCCCTCTGAGCTGGGATGTGGCCAGGGTTGAGGAAGCCAGCGCTGACCCTGGAGTAAGGCAGGACAGGGAGACAGTAGGCGGCTGGGTCCCTGAGAGGCCATGTGGAGCAGAATTTCCTCCTACCTTCCTGGACCAAGAGCCACTCTATGCCATTAAGGGAGCGAGGAATACATTTCTAGTTTGTCAGAACCGCTGTAATTTCAGGTCTTTTTTTTTTTTTTTTTTGAGAAAGAGTCTCACTTTGTTGCCCAGGCTAGAGTGAGTGCCATCGCGTCAGCCTAGCTCACAGCAACCTCAAACTCCTGAGCTCAAGCAATCCTGCTGCCTCAGCCTTCCGAGTAGCTGGGACCACAGGCATGCGCCACCATGCCTGGCTAATTTTTTCTATATATATTAGTTGGCCAATTAATTTCTTTGTATTTATAGTAGAGATGGGGTCTTGCTCTTGCTCAGGCTGGTTTTGAACTCCTGACCTCGAGCAATCCGCCTGCCTCGGCCTCCCAGAGTGCTAGGATTACAGGCATGAGCCACCTCGCCCCGCCTGGGGTCTTTGAGCAGCTTAACTTACACCCTAACATAGACGGCTTTCTCCTTTCAAACAACTTTAATTTTTACTTTCTGTTTAGTGGCTTTTACGGAAATAGAAGTTCCATTAGAACAGGAACTGTGCCTTCTTGTTCACTGTTATATCCCAGCCCCTACCACTGCCAGGTGGTAGTAGCTGAATAAAAATGGTTTGCAGCTGGTAATGTGCCTTATGATTAGCTGGGTTGTGGATTAATTAAAAATGCAGGTTTTTCAGGGTCTTAGCCCAAGTCTGCTGAGTCAATCTTTGGAACTGCTATACATTGATACCTTTATTTACAGTGAAAGAAAAGATTCCATTTACAATAGCAACTCTCAATAGATACAAAGTATTTAGCTGCAAACTTCCCAGGAGAGGTGGATACAAATGTAAAAAGCTTCAAAATTCTGCTGTTATAGATTGGGCGTGCTGGCTCACACTGTAACCCTAGTACTTGGGGAGGCCAAGGCGGGAGGATTGTTTGAGCTCCAGAGTTCGAGACCAGCCTGAGCAAGAGGGAGACCCCCATCTCTATTGAAAAAATAGAAAGAAATTAGATGGACAACTAAAAAAAAAAAAAAAAAAAAATATAATATATATAGTTATATATATATATAATATATATAAAGTAGCCAGCATGGTGGCACATGCCTGTAGTCCAGCTACTTGGGAGGCTGAGGCAGGAGATTGCTTGAGCCCAGGAGTTCAAGCTTGCAGTGAGCTGTGATGCGTCACTGCACTCCAGCCAGGCAACAGAGCGAGACCCTGTCTCTTAAAGAAAACAAAAGACAGTGGTGACCTGGATCAGCAGTTCTACAAGTGTGGTCCCTGGACCAGCAGCAGCAGCGTCCCAGGGCGGCTTGCTAGAAATGCAGAATTCTTCAGGCCCATCCACACCGCAGAAGAGTGGGGCTGGCCTGGCAGTCTGGGTTTCACAAGCCTCCCCGTGACTCCGGTGTTGGCTAAGTGTGAGACTGCTGGGCTAAGCTACAATGAGTAGTATAGTGGCACATCGGTTCCTGGGGCTGCATAAGAAGCACCACCGACTTGGGTATAAGGACACCCACCTGATCCAGTCTGCCCTCCTCTTAATTACATCTGTGGAGACCCATTCCCAGACAAGGCACATTCACAGGTACGGGGTTGGAGCCCTGCCTGCCCACTGCCGACAGGGAGCAAGGAGGCATTCAGGAAATATCAGAACAAGAGAAATCTCCTGTTCATGATTAGCCGAGGGCCCGGTGCTTGTGGCAGTGGAAGCAGAATGAAGAGGAAAAGAATTCAAGCAACCCGCTATTTGTTACACAAATCACCAAAATGGGAATAAATGGTGGTGTGTCTTTTTTTCTGTCTGAATGAGCTCCTTAGGATTAATATTTCAGGAACTTATTCTAAGATCTTGTAACACATTGCTGAAAGGAGCTTCTTACTGAAGACCTTTGTCGCTATCTGTGGGGCGGGGCTGGGAGGCAGGCGAGGGAGGCCTCTTTCCCTTGCAGGCACGGACCTTGCTATGGTTGTGCTGACCCCAGCTGTGGCAGCACTTTTATTTTATTATTATTTTTTAATATGAAGAAGAGAGAGTGAGGAGTAGATTCAGTTTCTTCTTCTTCTTCTTGTTTTTTTTTTTTTTTTTTTTTTTGAGACAGGTGTCACTCTATTGCCCCAGGTAGAATGCAGTGGGTCATCATAGCTCACTGTAGCTCCCAACTCCTGGGCTTAAGTGATCCTCCTGCTCAGCCTCTGGGAGTAGCTGGACTACAGGCATGCACCACAACACCCAGCTAATTTGTCTATTTTTTGTAGATGAGTCTCGCTCTTGCTCAGGCTGGTCTCGAACTCCTGAGCTCAAGCAATCCTCCCTCCTCAACCTCCCAGAGTGCTGGGATTACAGGCGTGAGCCACTGCGCCTGGCCCCATTCATCCATTGATTCCACAAACCATCACACCCTGCACCAGTGCCAGGGATGCAGCTGTGAGGACAGCCAGGGTCTTTGCTGTCGTGATGCTTCTTTATAGAAGCAGGGAGGAAACAGCAAAAAACCGGGCTGGATACTGTCAGGGTGTGACCAACATCAAACAGGACGGCGTCACAAAGAGCATCACTTTAGATGGCTTGGTCAGGGCAGGCCTCTCCCAGGAGATGACACTGGAGCTGTGCCTCGAAGGAGCCTCCATGGAGGCCTTTTAAACATGAAGAGTGTATTAAAGCAGGGGCACAGCATGTGCAAAGGTCCTGTGGTGGGCACAAGCGGAATGCGCTGGAAGATTTGCAAGAAGCCAGGGTGGCTGCCTCTTGGAGGGAGGGGGAGGGGGTGCGGAGGGGGACTTGTGGGCCCCTGGGAAGGATGTGGAGTTTATGCCTGTGCAGGGGAAGCCAACACTGGAGTTTAAGCGGGAAGTAATACGATCCCACTTGCGTCGAATTAAGGTCCACGGTGTGACCTCCGTAATGTACCCTCCTTAGAGCGGATTCCTTTCCCTAAGAGCCTTTTTCTCAGGTGTCACTGCAGACTCTTTGGCATGAAAGTATTATGTTTGTCCCCGCCGGTCTGTCACCTGTGTGAGGCCATGGCTAATGCACACCTGTGTCCTCCTTGGGCTGTAGGAAACGTTCAGTCAACGTAGCCCGACAAATGCCCCTGTCATTGCGTGTCCGGTCCGTGCTCTAACAGGAGCCTTGGTGGCCTCAGCTGTGCCCAGAAAGGTGCCAGTGTCCTTTGTGTTCCAGGGAATCATTTTGGAACCTGCCTTTCTGAGGTTCCAGCTGCCCCTGCCACTCACCTCAGAGCTAACCCCTCAGGAAGGAAATCGGCGGCCGCTCTGCTGTTTTGCGTTGAATGAAACGTTTTTAAAAGGGCAAGAGCATGTCCTACTCTAAAGGGTCCTTTGTACCTGGTTGGCATCAAGATTGCTGCTTCTGCCTGGCCACACAGTGGCTGAATTCTTGCTCTGATATTGTTGGGGGGTGTCCCTGGGCCTTGGGGGGCCCTAGGCAGAGGAGGTTGGTGTTGGAGAGGGCGGTTTTCTTGGTGGGAAGGAAAATGTTGCTCTGGGAGGAGAATTGGCAAAACAGACGGGCCTTGCTGCAAGTGGAGCCGCTCGGTTGGCCCGAAGCAGGAGGACTTGGCTCGCATCTGAAGCGCCGGTGCCTGTCAGGCCCACACGCCGTGAGAGGTGAAGTGGTTCTCTTGAGTTAGGAAGCGAAGCCTGAAAACTCAGCTCAAATTCCAATAGACTAGAGCTCACAAACGCTGGGCCTGGGAACAAAAGCCCAAAGAAAGAGGGAGGGAGGAGAGAGACTCACACTGTGGGCCCTTTGTGGACTTTTAGATACTTTCTTGAAAGCGGCTGCCACAACCACGCCACTCTCACATTCCACACTGCAGCTCTTCGAACACACAGTTGGCTCCTACCTCAGGGCCTTTGCACGTGCGCCCGCTGCCTGGCTCCTCACATGGTTGACTCTTCCCTGTTCAGTTCTCCACTCAGTGTTCCCGTCCCAGAGGAGAAGCCCCACCTGACTCACTCTCCATCGGACCGCTCTGTTTTGTTTCTTTCTCAGCATTTAACATGACCTGAAATTACTGTGTTTGCTTTTTCCTGGACTGACCTCTGTGTCTGTCTGCGGCCCCCCAGCGCGCCCCTAGTGAAGAAGGCCCTCGCTTGGGATCTGTGGCACCCGGCTGGCCCTGCACACAGCAGGCGCTCAGCAAACACACCCGGCTGGAGAAATCAATGACACTGTTGACTGTGCTGCTGGCCACACGCCAGAGCGTTTCAGATCTGCAGCCATCGAGATGCTTTGGCTGAAAGTACTAGAAAGCGTTGAGCTGTGAGGTGCAACAGTGAGGACATTTATTACTTATTTCCACACGCGGGGGGCCTGAGGTGGAGCAGCTCCAGGGCCCCCAGCTCTGGCGATCACGGCGTCACCGAGAAGCCGGTTTCTCCTTCCGTCTGTGGGCTGCAGCACAAGGTGGCAACTCTCCAGGCGGGACGACGTCCAACAGAGCTGCAGGAAGCGTCCCTCCTTGGGCCCTTTTTTATCAGCCGAGGAGACCTGTCCCAGAGTTCCCCAAGCACACACCCCCACATCTTACTGGCCAGAGCTGGGTCATGTGTCCACCCCCTAAGCCAGTCAGTATTGGCGTGACCACATTGGCTTAGAATAATCAGGGTCCCTCCCGACAGGGAGTCAGGGGACCCTTTTCTGAGCACCTGTGGCTGCTGGGAGGTGGCTAGACCCGCTCCGCTGCCTTCAGCAAAGGAGGGGATGGGTGAGAATGCATCTTAGAAAGGCAACCAGTGGTGTCCATCATTGCATGTGCTCAATTTCACCCTCACAGAAGCCCTCTAAGGTGTCATTTGTTCCCTTCAGCACGCATTGGACCCCTGAGTGGCTCATCTTTTACCGCTGCCCCTTAAGCGACAACCATTTTCAATAATAAAATAATCGTGATAATTTGTGATAATCGGAAATCACTATTTTGTTGATACCTTCTTTAGTTATAAAACAAACAAACAGATGATAGATACTTATTCAAATTTACTAAAATTGTGTGTGTGGGGGGCCATTTGGAGTTTTCTGAACTAAACTCCATGTAGAATATAATATTTATTAAAAGGTAACTAATACAATTGTGCTAATTTGAAGCTTATGCATATATTATTAAAACACAACCAACCAGAGCAATTCTTTTTTTTTTTTTTTTAATTTCAGAGCGTTACGGGGGTGCAAATGTTTTGGTTACCTGGATTGCTTTTGTACTGCTTGAGACAAAATTGTAAGTGTGCCCATCACCCAGATAATAGTGTACATTGTACCCCTTAGGTATGATTTCACCCATCCCCTAACCACAGGAATTTCTTAGCACAAAGATTGGCAAACTTTTCCTGTAAAGTGCCAGGTAGTAAATATTTTAGGCTTTTTGGGCCGTAGGGTCTCTGTCCAAACTACTCAACTCTGCCGTTGCAGCATGAACGCAGCCATAAACTATGCGTGATGAACGGCAGGGCTGTGTGCCAGTAGGACTTTATCCACAGACACAGGCTGGGGGCCGGGTTCGGCCTGTGGGCTATAGTCTGCCAACTCCTGGTTTAGAGGAACTTAGACCAACACAAGATTGTTTCAGGGGGAATGTTTATCACTGACATATTTCAGAGTTATTGGCACATGGTGATAATGGAAAGCAGACTGACTTCACGTGGGTTTTATGACTGTTAAATTCTTTACAGATCGGGCACTGGGGGGCTGCAGCCACCGTCCCACCCTTGGTACCCCTCTCCTTCCCCTTCACGGGGAGCAGCAGGCTCAGAGGGCCTCAGGGGAGTTAAGCAACTGTTCAGAAATCCAGGCTCCGTTGCCCAGAGCTTGACCTCCTGGGCACCCCTTCCAGCTGCCCCTCTGCCCACCCTCTTACCCCCTGTACGGCGGGAACTTCTCTGGGGACAGACTCGGGTCTGAGTCCATGTGGCTCGGGGAAGCTGACAGGGCTCCTGTCCCACTTGCCAGAACTTTTCTTTCTGGCCAAGGACAGGGCCAGGGAGCGAGGAAGTCCCTAGGAATGGGCTTGGTGACAGTTTGGGGGCCCCCAAGCCTCTCACTTCCCGTCTGGAGGCTGCAGAGAACATTCCAGAAGGCATGTTGGTACCTGGACTGGCTTGCCCTCCCCAAGCCTTCCCCGCCCACTTCTTATCTGTTGCCTCCCTGGTTCTGGATCAAAGACCGACTCTCAAGTTGCTTCCTCATTGCTCAGTTTCCCTCTTGTCTCCACAGAGGTTTCTGGAAGCTTTGACCCTAAAACCCACCCTTTGTGGGAGACTCCTATCCTGTCTGCCTCAGCCTTTTGTTGCTGTGTAGTTTGTTTGTTTTTACCCTTTTAACCATTTGCAAGTGTGCAGGTCAGTGACATTGAGTACCCCCATACTGCTGTGCAACCATCGCCACCCCATCCCAGAACTTCCTCACCTCGCAAAACTGAAACCCACACCCAGCGAACTTCCCACTCCCCCTTCTCCCCAGCCCCGGCACCCCCCATTCTACTTTCTGCTCTGTGAGTCTGAGGACTCTGGGGACCTCCTACAAGTGGAATTGTACAGTACTTGTCCTTTATGTCTGGCTTAGGGTCCTCCATGTCATAGTCTGTGTCAGAATTGCCTTCCTTTTTCAGGCCGAGTAATATTCCATTGTGTGGGCTGCCCACACCTTGTTTGTCCATCACCGGTCGCCAGGCGCGTGGGTCCTCCCACCTGTTGGCTGCTGTGAGTGGCACTGCTGTAGCTCTCCAAGTCCCTGCTTCCGTTCCTTTTGCGTATATACCCCGAAGCGAAATTCGTGTATCTAGTGGTAATTCTCTGTTTAATTGCTTGAAGACCCTCCATACTATTTTCCCCAGCAGTGGCCTTCCCCTCAGCAATCACAGGGGCCGATCTCTCCACTTCCTCACCAATACTCGTTATTTTCTGGTTTTTTTGATAGAAGCCATCGTAATGGGTACGAGGTGGCATCTCATGGTGGCTTCGATTTCTGTTTCCTTCCGATTAGTGAGATTGAGGCTCAGCCTAACTCTGCCTTTGCAGGCCCCTTACACACCCCTCCCCTACCTCCCATCAGCTCAGCTGAGGCCAGACTGGCAGGGGAGGGCCCAGTCTCTGTGGGCATCAGCTTTCCCATCTGTGAAATGGGAACGAGGGCAGCAGCACACAGCTCACAGGGGAGCCCTCAGAATGGTGCCTGGCACATAGTACGTGCTCAATAAATACCAGTACAGTCCAGGGATGGGTGAAACCCGGGGAGTTCTGTGAAACCGCAGTGATGTGTTCAGGAGAAGGGCTCTGGGTCACGGATGGGGTGATTAAAGTTGATCTCTGGACCTCCCTGCAGATCCTGCAAGCCCCCATCTGCTCAGGGAATTTTCCAGTCCACAAGTCTTCCAGGGCCAGCTCCTGCTTCCCTTTCAGCCTGTATCTCATGGTCACGCCCTCCTCTCTTCCCTTCTGCCCTGTCCCCAACAGCCTGTATCTTTCAGTTTGTTTATTTGATTTAGCAAACGCATGGTCCTAAGGGCTTTGCAGGCATGGACTCTTAATCCACAGCGTGACCCTCTGAGATAGGTATTACTAGCCCCATTTTGCAGATGGGGCAGTTGAGGCCCAGAGAAGTTAAGAGATGTGCCCACAGGAGACCTGAGTTTTGAACCTGGGTCGTCTGGCTCCACACCTGCAGTTTTAGCTTCTAGGCTTGCTTACGGCAAGGCTCTTATCCCAGTTGTTTCCTGTGCCCAGAAAGCTGCCCCTGAGCCTCCCGTCTTCTCTGGTGAGCTCCTGGCGAACTCCTCTTCCACCAGAGTCAGTCTCTGTGTTCTTCAGGATCTGAGCAGGAAGCGGACAGAACACTCAATATTGGAGACGTCATAGAAGAGACTTTCAGTAGAAGAGGGTTTAATGGAGGGGCTGTTTACAAGGGTGTAAGGAAAACAAAAGGCACAGTGAAGCCGTTCCCACCCCAAGGGCAGAAGGGAGGAGAGGAGACAGTGACACTTGGAACCTGGGAGGAGAGGGGTGTCTAGACAGTGCTGCCTTCCGGGGACCCTGCCCTCTGCTCAAGGGTTGCAGCCAGCCTGAGTGTTTCATTTATGTGTTGTTCACAACAGACCACCCCAACATATAGTGATTTCAAACATTGATTTAGTATTTCTCATGATTTTATGGGTTGAACAGCTGTCTCGTGTGGTGATGGCTGTGCTGCTGAGATGGCTGGAAGGTCCTAAGTGGACTCTCTCACGGTGCTGGTGGGAGCCCAGCCTGGCTGTTGGCTGAGAGCATGGTTCTCCTTCCCAGGGCTCCTCCACATAGCTGCTTGGGCTTCCTCACAACATGGCCGCTGAGTTCAAGAAGGCATGTTCTAAGAGGTGACAGCTGAAGCTATTGATCTCTTGTTTTCTTTTGTTGCTATATTTCTTTTTTCACTTGGCGTCACCAATTCATACAGGGATGAAGCTGTTGATCTCTTGGAGGCTATCCAGTGTCACTTCTGCCACATTCTGTTGGTTGAAACTGGTCACAGTGTCAGCCCAGATGCCAGGGGAGGGGACATAGACTCCCAGCAGGAGTAGCAAAGGATTCATGGCTGTTTTTAACACTAAGAAATACCACAGGGAGGAAGTCGGGGAGTCACATCTCATTTTCCCTCTCTTACCCTCTTTAGATCTCCCACCACCCATGTGCCAAGTCCAGTGAGGAGCCAGAGGGCCAGGGAGGCTGCGGACACAGTTCCTGAGGGTCACCTTTCTGGAGAAGAAGGTCAGGCGGAGAAGCAGAGGCTGGTTCTTGGGGGGAGATGAGGATATTCTCGCATAGTACCCCACTCCAAGCTCTTCTGGAACTCCCCATTTTCCCTTTATTGTGCCATTTGTAATTATAGACTTCTGTGGTTATTCTTCAAGACTGAGCTACAAGACATCTCTGAGCTACAAGGGTCTCTTTGCTTATGTGTTTGTGTTTTGTTTTATTTTATTTATTTATTTATTTTATGTATGTATTTTTTTGAGACAGGGTCTCACTGTTGCCCAGGCTAGAGTGCTGTGGCATCAGCCTAGCTCACAGCAACCTCAAACTACTGGGTTCAAGCAATCCTCCTGCCTCAGCCTCCCAAGTAGCTGGGACTACAGGCATGCGCCACCATGCCCGGCTAATTTTTTATATGTATATATTTTTGTTGTCCAGCTAATTTTTTTCCATTTTTTTTTAGTAGAGATGAGATTTCGCTCTTGCTCAGGCTGGTCTTGAACTCTTGAGCTCAAATGATCTGCCTGCCTTGGCCTCCCAGAGTGCTGGGATTACAGGTGTGAGCCACCTCGCTGGGCCTGTTTTTGTTTTTTAAATCTCTCTCCCCCGCTAAAAGTAAGGCCAGGACAGAGGCGGCCTATCTGTCTTGCTCACCATCTGTGTGTGCTCAGCCCCTCACGCACAGTAGGCCTGGCACACAGTGGGTGCTCGGCGAATGTTCGCTACCTGGATGAACAAATGAATGAATGTATCCATCTCTTTCCCTGTGCAGATAGGTCAGGGCCAGGTGACCTCAGAGGAATCTTCTGGCTCCTGTCCCAGGACCCACCCTCCTGTTGTCTCCAGCCGTTGTTGGCCGTGGGAGCTGGTAGAAGTTTCTCTGCTCCTGTGTCCTGCCCACGGAGTGGAGTTATCAGCTCACAGCTGCCGGTGAGTCCTTCCCACACACTGGCACCTTTGTCCTGGACTGTTGTCTGTGTCGGCGGGTTAGCGCTGGCCAGCGAGGCCGCATCATGGATCCGAGGGCCAGGGGAAAGGTGAGGCTGGCTCTCCAGCCCTGAGTCACAGCGGACAGGCTGCTGGTGAAGGTCGGTGGTTGGGGACTCACAGGGGCCTGGACTGAGGGGGTGGGTGTCTCAGTCGGCTGGGGCTGCCGAGGCAGAACAACACAGACTGGGCGGCTTGTAAGCAACAGACATCTACTTCTCACAGTTCTGGAGGCTGAACAGTCCAAGGTCAGGAGGCCAGCAGATTTGGTGACCGGTGAGGGCCTGCTTCCTAGTTCAAGGATGGCACCTTGGAATGATGTCCTCACCTGGTGGAAAGGGCCAGGTGGCACCCTGGGGCTCTTTTTTAGAAGGGCGCTAACCCCACCGATGAGGCCTCCACCCTCATGACCTAATCACCCCCAAAGCCTCACTTCCACAATTAGGTTTCACCATGAGAGTTTTTGGGTGGACACAAACGTTCAGTCTCCGGCATGGGACTAGAGTCCAGGAGTGGAGGCCCGGTCTCCCAAGGAAATTTTGGAGGCTGTAGAGACCTCTGAAGACCTCTATTGATATTCACAACATTGCGGGGGGCATTTTAACTTACTGAAGAAAAACAACTCCTCCTGAGTCATGTGCATTGACATACCCATTTATTGATAAATTGCAACCCGCCCCCCACTACAGCATTTACCCTGTTCCACTGTTGTACTTTTCCCCCCGAAACACACATCATCCTCGTGCCACGCCGGCCAACAGAAATGCAACGGGAAACCACGTGCACAATGAAAAAATTTTCAGTAGCCACATTTTAAATAGTAAAAGGAAACAGGTGGAATTAATTTAAATTGTATATTTTATTTAACCCTATCTAAATGGCATGATGCCATTTCACCGTGTAAGCAATACAAGAATGCTGAGCTGTTTTGTGTTCTTTTCACACCAAGGCCTTGAAATCCGGTGTGTATATGACACGCCATATCTCACATCGGACCAGCCCCACGCGGAGTCCCTGGCACTCGCTGCAGGACAGCCCGTGGCTACTGCACTGGACAGACAGCTCTAACCTCTTATGAAACTACTGGTGACTGTGCTTATCATGTGTTGTCATTGCTCGTCTGCCATTGCGTGGGAGCCGCGAGGCCGGGGCCTTGGTTACGGTCCCTGCTGGGAACCCAGCACCCAGCACAGAGCAGGGCCCACTCCGTGTTGGCTGAACACATCCAGCTGGCAGCGTGGGCTCCCTTCAGGCTCAGCCAGCAGCAATCTGGGTGGCAGATGCGACCGAAACTGTTTCCTCTTCCTGCTTTGCTTTTTTCTTTGTTCTTTGTGCTTTCTCTCCCCCGTTGTTTCCTTTTCCTCCACTTTCTTCCCCTTTTTCCTCCCCCAGCTAAGAGAGTAGTGATCGCATTTGGGCTCCGGAGCCAAGGGACTTTGGTTTAAGTCCTTGCTCGCTCTGCTCTGCCACTAACTAGCTGTGCCTCTTTTTAATCAAGTCCCTTAGCTTCTGTGCAATGTTTCTGGTGGCCTTGGGGATAATAATAATTCTTCCTGGTCTGGGGTGGGGTATAGGGCACAGGTGTGACGGCCACGGCTCATAGAGGCGCCCTGCTACGTGTGTGGCCAGGATGAACCCATGTAACACTTGCGACTCCCCCAGGAAGCAGGCACGACTCAGACCACCTGCACGGCACAGATAAGGGAGTTGGGGCACAGAGAGGCCAAGCGACTTGCCCAAGGCCACAGAGCTGGCAGCTGGGCAGCCTGGCTGCAGAGGCAGGCCCTGGACGCAGTGGTTCATCAACATATACCGTTAAGGACCGACTGTGTGCCAGGCTCTGTTCTAGGAGCTGGGGGCACAGTGATGGACAAAGGAGACAGATTCCTGCTCCTGCGGAGCTTTTTATTCATTCTAGAGGAGGAAGGAAGCCAGTCAAAAAGATAAACACGTGTGTTGTGTGGTATGCCGGATGCTGATAAATGCTATGGAGAAAAAGGAGGGAAGGGAGGTAGGAATACTGTGGGGTGGTTTGTCATTTAAAACGGTGGATAGGAAGGAAGTCCTTGCCAGGATGACATTTGAGCTAGGACTTGAAGGGAGGGTGAGCCTCCTGGGTGTTAGGGAGAGCAGCGTTCCAGCAGTGAGAGCAGTAAGTGCAAAGGCCCTGGGGCAGGGGCAAGGCAGCAGGTCTAGGAGCTCCCAGGAGGCAGGCATGGCTGGAGCAGAGTGGGGAAGGGGGGAGAGGAACCATGAAGTCAGGGAGATGATGGTGTCCTCATGGGCCATGGTGAGGGCTGTAGCTCTTACGCTGAGTGAGGTGGGAGCCATGGGAAAGTGTTTTTTTTTTTTTTTTTTTTTTTTTTTTTTTTTTTTTTTTTTTTTTTTTTTTTTTTTTTTTTTTGTTTTTTTTTTTTGAGACAGAGTCTCACTTTGTTGCCCAGGCTAGAGTGAGTGCCATGGCGTCAGCCTAGCTCACAGCAACCTCAAACTCCTGGGCTCAAGCGATCCTCCTACCTCAGCCCCGGTTAGCTGGGACTACAGGCATGCACCACCATGCCCGGCTAATTTTTTCTATATATATTAGTTGGCCAATTAATTTCTTTGTATTTATAGCAGAGACAGGGTCTTGCTCTTGCTCAGGCTGGTTTCGAACTCCTGACCTCGAGCAATCTGCCCGCCTCGGCCTCCCAGAGTGCTAGGATTACAGGCGTGAGCCACCACGCCCGGCCAAAAGTATTTTTTAATAACAGTTTTTATTGAGATATAATTTGCATATCATAAATTCACCCATTTAAAATCAACAATTTAATCGCTTTTATTCTATTCACAGAGTTGTGCAACCATCACCACAACCGATTTTAGAGCATTTTCATTGCTCCAAAAAGAAGCCCCATACCAGCAGTCACCCCACTGTCCCAGACCCTGGCAACCACCAATCTGATTTTTGTCTCTACAGATTTGCCTGCTATGGACATTTCATATAAACGGCATCACACACGTGGACTTCCGTGTCTGGCTTCTTTCACTCGCGTGTTTCCAGGGCTCATCCACGTGGTCGCGTGGACCAGAACTTCATTCCTTTTTATGTGGAGCAACATCCCAGCGTGTGGGTAGGTCACATTCTCTTTATCCCGTGAGGACTGATGGGCGCGGGGTCGTTTCCCCACTTTGGCGGTCAGTGCTGCCATGCACACTTGCGTGCAGGTTTCTGCACGGACGCGCTTTCCTCCCTCTGGGGCACATACCTAAGGAGGAGGCTGCTGGGTCTCTGGTGGCTCTCTGGTTACCTTAGAAGGGGCACCATCCTGCAATCCCACACACACTGTGCGAGGTTGCAACTTCTCATCTTTGCCAGCATTCATTATCTGGCTTTCTGATCACAGGAGGCTTTTGAGCCACGGAGGAGTCACCATCTGACTCGGGTTTTGCAGGACCCCTCCCCATACACCCATGGGTAATATTTTATTATTGTTAATCTTTCTTTACTTTGGCATTTTTGTCTTTCCTAAAGGCAAGGCCTCTCTCTAAAATGTGATGTCTTTTTTCTTCCTTCTTAAGCTGCTGTCCCTGCCTCCGGAAGTGACTCCCCTCCGCGAGGTGGAGGTGGGTCATGTGTGTCCACCACTCTTTCATCTCTGCCCTTCTCATTGTCGAGTGACAGCATGGCGTGCCACGACGCACTCCAGCCACGGCCTTGGGGCTCTCTTGGGTAAGCACCACGCACATTTGGACCTTGAAGACTTGGCCATAAATAAAAGTTGGTTTGGACAGCGTGGCCAAGGAGAGTCGGGATGGGGGGATGTGGGGCCGTGCGTCAGGGCCGGGCCAAGCGCACGTTTTACTAAATTGGCTAATTTCCAAGAACTCCAACCAGCATTAAAAATAAGACAATCCCCATAGTGAAGGCTGTCGAAGGCCTTAAGGAATTTAATGAAATTATATTAATTCATTAATCAATCAGTACTTTGATTAATGAACAAGCTAATTAGTGAATTGATTAAAGTATTTGTTGAGTGCCTGATATGTGCTAGGCATTGTTCCAGGTGCTGAGGATAAACCCCTTAGTGGACAAAGACCAGCTTCTGTCTCTCGGGAGCTGGGGGAGAGGAATAAGTGAGCAGACACACAAGACGATTTCAGGTAAGACTGGGGTGATTTGACAGAGGGTGGGTTGGGACTCCCATTTTCAACAGCTTCCCAGAAGTGGGCTTTGGGCTGAGACCTGGAGGAGGAGAAGGAGTCGCCATGGTAAGATCTAGGAGGAGAGTATTCTAGATAGAGGGAACAGCAAGTGCAAAGGCCCTGTGGCAAGAAGAAGCCAGGATGTTCCAGGAGCAGAAAGGAGGCTGGGAGTACAGCGAGCAACGGGGGCGCAGGCGGCAGACGGGGCAGAGTGTGGCAGGAGCCAGGCTGTGGAGGGCTTGGACCAACAACAATAAGTAGCTTTGTTGCACTTACACATTCTAGGCACTGTTCTGAGCACTGTCCCATATTTTTCCAACTTCTTTAATCCTCACCACAGCCCTTGGAAAGAGAGGCTCTTATTATCCCCATTTTACAGACAAGGAAACTGAGGCACAGAGAGGCCCAAACCACTTGCCCCCGAGTCTGGATTTCTCTGAACCTGTTCCTCTAGGTCAGGGTGGGGCCCCTCCTTGGGGCACTGGACAGTATCGGGTCTCCTTTGAGAAGACGGTGCCAGGCAAGGCCCTCTGGCCAGGACACAGAAGGTGATCAATAAATGTTTCAGGCCAGGGCATGTCGCTTAAGGTTGGGCCTAGGAGAAGGCTGCTTTCTTCTAGGGTTGAATAGAGCTTCAGAAGAGCTCATTCTGAGCCCTGGAGGACAGGGCTGCCTTGCCGAGGTGTTGGTGACTCAGCCCTCCTGTCCCCATGTAACCCAGGAGGAGTCTCTCAGTGACATCTTTCACAAAAACGAGAGGACTGGCCCACACCAGGGGCCCAAACTCAATGTGGGGTGGACAGTCAGGCACCAGGAGGCAGGGGATGAGGAGCATAGCAGGGAAGCACATTCCCGAGGGCAGTCCCCTGCCTCTGTGCCAGCTCCTGGCTGTGCCCCCTGAGCAGTCTCGGCCTTCCTTAGAAAGCAGGGACTCAGTTTTGCTTACTGACTTCTCTGTCCCTCAGTTCTCTGATCTGCAAAACAGAACCATCCCGTGCCACCTAGAAGGCCCTCATTCATTCGTTCCTTCATTCATTCCGGAATGCCTGTTGAGTGCAAGCGGGCAGCTGGGCTGGCTCTGTCGCAGCTGGCCCGAACGGTGAGCGCAAAGCAAACGGTGAGCGCAAAGCGCAAAGCGCAAAGCGCGAGCATTATTGCCAGGTGGTGCCGGCGATAAGGAGGAGCTCGGGGGCGGCTAGGGGCCACCTCAAACAGGGCGGCGGGGGAAGCCTTCCAATAAGGCAGCGGGAACAGAATTGGGGGCCGAGGGAGTGCAGAGGCTGGTTCCAGGCGAGGGAGGCCGGGTTAGAGCGTGTGCGCGGGACGCGGGGACGGAGCACGAGTGTGGTGGTCGAGAGTGCAGCCCACCTTAGGGCGCAGCGTTCCCAAGCAAGAACTTGCTACCAATGTGCGCCTTGGTGGTGCCAGTGACAGAGGAAGTTGGGGGGAGGAGGACGAGGGAGGGGAGGAGAGAGGAGGGGATAGCGAGAAGAAGGGGGGTGACGGGGGCAGGGAGGGCGCGCGGCGCTGCAAACCTGAAGCTAGAGCGCCCGGCCGGCCTTGGCAGGGTGGGGCGGGGCTTGGCAATCCTGGCCCCGCCCCCAGGCCGTGCCGATCCGCGCCCGCCCCCGGCCCCGCCCCCTCCCCTTCGCAGGCCCAGGACCCGCCCCCCGCCCCCGCCAGAGTCCCTGCTCCGGAGGCCGCCCGCCCGGGGGCGGTCCGGCGGAGCAGGCGATGGCGCATAAAGCCGCAGGCCACCTGCTGGACTTCTTCGTGAGCCACCATCCGGGCCCCGCCGTGCCGCTGCGGCCAGCATTCCTGGAGTCCCGGCCTCTGTCGCGTCCGTAGCAGTCCCCGTCCCCCGCCAGGCGCCGAGCCCTGCGAGCTCCGGGCGGGCACCAGGGCGCGCAAGCATGGGCTGCCACGCCAGAGCGCGCGGGGCGGCCGCGGCGCTGGGAGTCCTGGGGCTGCTGTGCGCCGTGCTGGGCACTGTGATGATCGTGATGTTGCCCTCGCTCATCAAGCAGCAGGTCCTCAAGGTGGGTGAGGGGCGCCCGGGTCGGTAGGCAACCCCACTGGAGGGCGCCGAGGCGGGCCAGGGGTGCTGCCAGCCGGTTGGCGACAGGAACGGGGTTCGGCGCCCTGGGCCGGCCGCAGAGCACGGGGAGACCAGCGTGGCTGCCCCGCTGCAGGACCCCACCGGCCCAGGCTGAGCCCGAGGGCAAAGGGGGCACCCAGAGGCTTGGCTGCCCGCGCAGGCCAGGGTGGGGGAGGCCTGAATGAGAGGCCACCCGGGGGACCTGACCCTGCCCTAAGGGATCTGGGGCGGGGACGGGTCAGGACTGTGGCCATGTTACCCTTGCAGGGCTGCCCAGGGGAACACCCACACGCCTCTTTCCACAGCGGCCTCTAGCAGTGTCTGGTTAAACTGGGACCGCGCTTTGCTTGTCTCCTGCGAGCCCAGGAGGAACCTTCCCTTCATGTGCTCCTGCAAGGCCCACGTGGGCGCGCAGCCCGCTGTAGGTGCTCAGCCGAGCATCCCCTGCCGTTAGGAACCTTTATGTAAAAACTCTTTCTCACAGTGGCAGGGCTGGCTCTGCTGTCCCCGCACGCCTTCGTGACTCAGACCGAGAGCGCGATAAGCCGCTTTTCTCCTGCTCGCTGGTCGCAGGCTCCAGCCCAAGGTCCTCCTGGGAGCAGCAGCCTGAGGTCTTTCCTTTGATCCTGGCCAGACACAGCATTGCCCTTTTAACCGGGGAGACAATTAGGCGGTCAGCTGGCTCTGCCCTGGGTGGTCCGCCTAAATGAGCCCGGCTGACACCTGAGCGAAGAAGGGCTGGGAGATTGCAGAATCTCCAGCCTCTCAGAGCTTGGAAGCCACTGAGCCAACACCTGCAGCGCCTGGGAGGGGAAACTGAGGCTCACCTTTCCCAAAGGTTCAGCTGGACACAGAGCTGGGGTGACCATGTGGAGATTGTCATGCTGGTTGAACCCCCGCCTGCTGCTTTAGACTGAGTTTCTTAAGAATGGGGGCTTGTCCCTAATTATGTCTGTGCGCCAGTTCACTGGGTGAGTGAGCGAATGAATGAAGGCTGCATCTGCTTAGACCCGGCTGCCACTTCTTGGGACCCTGCTGACTTTAAAGGTGGAGCGGCGTTGGGCCCTTCTCAAGGTCTCTGGGGGAGCAGTTGTCTCTAGAGTCCTCCTGGCCACGCTGTGTCTATTTTTTGGTCTTTCCAGCCATGTCCAGTGAAGTTCTGCAACCCTATTGCAAAGTGGTGAATGGCGACACTGCCTCTGGGAATGGTGGGAAAAGCGACAGAACTGCTTCCTCCCCGTGGCAGCCAGGGGTGTTTCTGTGTTGCGCTTTTCAGAGTACCTGTGCTAGCTTTAGCTCCGTGACAGCCTTGTGGTTTCTGCAACACCGAAGACTCCACTGAGTGTGCATGGTGGCCCTGGAGAGAGGCTGTCACTCAGGTGGTGCAAGCAGGGGACCCTGTGCAAAGAGCACCTAGTCTCTTGCTTCGGGTGTGGAGGTGGTGGGCTTTACACCAGATGAACCTTGTCAGCTCAGTCGTTGTGGGGCTTATTCCAGGGTGTCTTGTGTGTCATGATGTCGATCTAGTTAGGGGTGTGCGTGCCTGTGTGTGCGCTGCCCGCTTCCCTGCCTCCTCCCTCCTCTGGGCTTCCACAGAGGAAATCCACATCGTCCTCACTTGTCCCAGAGCTGGGAACTCTGGGCTTGAAGTTGAATGAGAGCCTTCTGGCACCCTTCTGCGAACATCCCAAGCGCGATTGGTCCAGGGCTGAGTGGCGTGAAGGCAGGAAGACAGAAGCCACGCCCAGCCCAAGACGGCCACTTCTTGGATGGCCTGGCTGGAGCAGCAGCCAAGTGCCTTGGCGGGGAAGAAGAAAGCCTGTGTTCAGAGAACCGAGCGGTGGGGACGCTAGGATGGGCAGGGACGGCTGCTGGTGTTTTCTTTGGCTGCGCGGATCTGTGCACAACTTGAATGGGAGGCCTTGTGCTTTTATTTATTTATTTTATGCTTTTTGGTTCATGAAAGGAGTCCATACAGTTGGCCCTCTGTATCCGTGGGTTCCGCATCCGTGGAGTCACCCAGCCTCTGAATGAGCATATATGGAAAAAAAATAATAAAAAATAACAATGCAACTATAAAAATAATACAGATTTGAAAAATACTATATGACAACTATTTATGTAGCATTTACATTGTATTAGGCATTCTAAATAATCCAGAGATGGTGTACAGGAGGATGTGTGTAGTTTATGTGCAAATTCTATGCCATTTTACATCAGGGGCTTGAACCTCTCTGAACATTGGCATTTGTGGGGGTTCTGGAGCCAGTTCCCCTGTGACACTAAGGGGCAACTGTATACAGAAGACACGAGTACTTGCTTGTAAAAGAAACTCAAATGTTGGTAAAAAGAGAAAGTTCCTCCCATTTTATTCTCCTCCCCAGCTATTATCACCATCATTAGTGCGGATCTTTCTAGACCTTTTGCTGTATGTCACAAGCACATGTATGTATATATTAATATATGTATTTTGCATAAATTGAACTATACTATCTAAAAATATCCTGCAGGTTGCTTTTCAATTCAGCGATATCACTTGAAGATTGTTCCATGTTGTCACAATGCATTTTCCTCTCTGCCGCGTGGCGTTCCTCTGAATAGTGTGTATGATACATACACACTTGTTAACCTGTTTCCCCATTGCATGATAATTTTCTCCGTCACAAACGACAGTGAGTGTCCCGCTGGGTGCCTCTCTGTGTGCACGTGCAAACCCTTCCGTGGGGGGATTCCTACAAGTAGAACCTCTGGACAGGAAGGTGTGCTCAGCGTAAACTGTGACAGTTCCCGTCAAATTGGCTCTCTGGGTAGTTCTACCATTTTTACTTCCACTAACAAGGCAGGAGACCCCCAACCCTCC